CTATCTACTGCCCATGCCGTCCACGATGAAACATGGCTACCTTTCATGAGACATATAAAAGACCGAGAGGGATGGTACGAATATGCTGATTGTCACGTCAACGTGAGAAGAGATTGTGATCATTACATTTCTCCTAACAGCAAGATTTCGACTGAAGAGTATCCCTATCGGACAACATGCCATAGGAAGGACGATGCCTGGTTCATCTTAGACCAAAACTTCATCCTCTGGCCAAAATACGAGGCCTGGAACGAGACCATCGCTCCATGTGAGGTCATGCTCACGATCTTCCATAAGGACATCATTGACCTTCGCGAGAGGACGGAGCCGGAGATTACAGTAGATGAAGCTATCCCTGAGGATGATCCAAAGGATAAGGATCTAATCGAAGTCATCAATCCTTCCACCGGTGATGTTGAGAAAATAAGAAGAGATGACCCACAGTATTATAGTGCAGATGGATTCAAAACAAGAAGGTACAAGGGATCAAGTAAACCGATTGACATCCCATCATTTGTCTGGCAGTCCATGTCTGTGAAAGCCAGAAGAGAAGCAATCAGGGAAGAACAAATGAAGTTAGCCAGAGATGGAGCTGAGAAGAAACGAGCCGTTAGAGCCGAACAAGAACTTGCAAGGCTTGAAAAATCCAAGAAGGGTGTTGCAAGTATCATCAATCAACTCCACCATGCATATCACTCAGAAGATGACTTTCCAACCATGCCCACTTGTAAGTATTCCCAAGATAGGCATCGGGTTAAGTGCGCCCGGGTTAGTATAATGAGCGGGGAAAAGATCATCAACACCCTTGTGGCCCGGCCAGTCAACAAGAAGGAGATAAGGTCAAACCCTAAAGCTCAGGAATCACTTGACGTCGAGTGGAATAAGCTCGTCAAGAAAACTGCCTGGTTGTACGACACCGTACAAGAGTGGAGCGTAGTATCCGATGGTGCCAAAAAGAAAGGGAAGAAAGTACATGTTGGAAAAGTGTTTGAAATTTGTGTTGAAAAGGGTAGTGAACTTCCAGTGGGCCACAAGCTTAGGAAATTTAAGGGTAGAACGGTATTCCAGGGCAACAATGTCCGTGATGAGAATGCCGATGTTGCTCTTTTCTCCGAGCTAGGCTCATCGCCTGCAACCATGGAGGCTGGTAAAGCTGTGGATGCATATGGTTCTCAACCCGGACACATAACTCAACAGAATGATGGTGTCCAAGCATATACTCAAGCACTAATGGAAGGGATTGAAACCTGGGTGGAACTTCCAGTTGATAGATGGCCCAAACATTGGGTAGGCAAGTACAGACGCCCCGTTGTGCTCCTTCGCATTGCCTTATATGGTCACCCTGACTCGGGGGGACTCTGGGAAATTCACTGCGAAAGAATGCTCATAGCGGTGGGGTTCATAATGCCTGACCCGGAAGGGTGGCCATCAGTGTTCTTTCATCCTGAACTGAAGCTCCTCTTGGTAGTGTATGTAGATGACTTCAAAATGTCAGGTCCTAAAGAGTCGATGCCGAAAGGATGGGAGTTAGTTGGATCCAGAATCGATATGGATGTTCCCACTGACATTGGTCGATATCTTGGATGTGATCATGTTCAAGAACTTCAAGTTAAGCTGACGGTTCATGATCACCCTTTCGCCCACCTCTTCGACAAGTCCCTTCCTGATCCCGCCGCCAAGGAGGCCGCAGCAGCGGAGAGGACACAGGACTTTTGGGAAGTTGACGCATCCAAAGGAGTCTACATCAGACATCACTGTCAACCAAGAAAGGGATTTTATGTTCCAGATGAAGAAATCATAACTGCATGTAACTTGACTAATGTTAGGTTTACTGACTTTGTGCAAAGCACGTCGGAAGACGATGCCGTTTCTGAATGGGACGAGTACCTTGATGAAACGGGGGGCTATGCACAAGGGAAGAGAAAGCCTGCATTATGGGTAGGTGCTACTTACCTATTTACCAAGACATGCAAAGATCCCAAAATTGCAGTTGCATCAATTAAAAGAGACAAAAACGATGCCAAAAAGAAAGCGAGAGCTCAAGGTTTCAGATACATGGACCAATTGTTCAAAGATCAACCTTGTATGTCCAAGCCAGTGAATGTGATGACATATGATATGCAACCCTTTTTGCAATCATGTATTGACCGATACCAATCACTTGCCGGTAAAGACGCAAAACCCCTCAAGCAGGTATCCACTCCTTTTCACGAAGAAAGGATTGCAAGACCTCTGGAAGGGGAGTCCGAGCCGAAAGGTGCACTTGCTCCAATAGCTGCAAGGGTTTTGATGAAGATCCTATTTGCCGCCCGTATGGCAAGATATGACTTGCTTAGAGCCGTGCAAGGGCTTGCAGCTAGAGTAACAAAATGGTCAGTAGATTGCGATAAGGCATTGCATAGATTAATTTGTTACATACACTCTACATTGGATCACAAGCTCAAAGCCTTCGTTGGCGATCGAATTCAAGAGTGCAAACTTTGGTGTTTTGCCGACGCCGATCATGCCGGTGAGTACGACAATAAAAGTACCACTGGATGTTTCTTAGTCCTAATAGGCCCCAATACTTATTTCCCACTCACTGCATTCTCTAAGAAGCAAACATCAGTGTCAGTTTCTAGCACTGAAGCCGAAGTAGTTGCTGCAAACATTTCCCTCCGCGCTGTAGGACTGCCTTCATCCGGTTTATGGGCCTACCTCCAGAACGCGGGGGGGGATCAAGCACTCCGGGAGGTTTGCCAAGAGAAAGTATCAAGACCCAACCTGAGGGTAACGGTGAGTACTGGGAGTTTTTACGGGATAGAAGATTGCTCGTCCGTGTCCATACCAAGAACAGGGCCCACCTTTTCAATCCGACCGAGTCCAAAACCATTCCAATCCCCATCAAACGAATTGGCAACTCCAGAACAACTATCTTTATTTCATCAGGAATGATGGACTTCATTCAGGACAATTGGAAAAGACGGGGCACCAGACCTGTTGACAAACAATGGACGGGAGAGACATTCTTCCGCGTTTATGGGCCTTACGAAAGTGACTATGAAGTTGAATCATCGGAAGTTCGGGAAGCACTTACTGATTTTGAATTTGTAGGGCAAGAGAAAATGGGTGATTATATGGTGTCACTCTTCCCTCCCAAGAGCATCCGTGGAATCTTCGTCGAAGACAACCAAGCCACCATCAGAATCTTGGAAAACGGTAAATCACCATCGTTTCGTCATACAGACAAAACCCAACGGATCAACTTGTCATGGTTATCAGAACAGTATAAGAGGGGATGGTATGATCTGACATATGGACCATCTAAAATGCAGGTTGCAGACATCTTGACTAAGCCTTTCACTAATGCAGAGAAATGGCGATTTGCACTGGCCCTCATGTCCCACGTAGCACCCAAGAGTAGTAAGGCCAGCTCATCCGGTTCTAATCGTGCAACGACTGGTACCCCACGGCCCAAGGCTATGGCATCCAGTCGAAGCTCCGGGGAACCGAGAGCCAGCCTGAACCCCAATCGCTTGCTAGTGGAAATTTGCTGCAGTCCCATGTCCAAGTTGAGTGATGTTTCCAGAGAAGCCGCCGTTGGATGTAGAGTGATTCAGTTTACCGAGAAGCATAGTCTGTTGGACGAAGATTATCAACTGTATGTTGCAAGCATTGTGAACGATTTTCCAGTGTCCAAAGATGTCCTTTTGTGGCTAAGCCTCCCTTGCACGGGGGGCACATCGTGGTCTCATGTGAACCTGAAAATCCCAAGTGCCGCTAGGAAGGTCATGAAACATGTCAAGACTATGAAAAAGTTATGGAAAGCTTTTGAAAGATTTGTTCATCGGCTAACCAGAGACTTTGAAGTCGCAATTGAATGGCCTCAAAACTGTCGGTGCTGGAAATTCCCGAGAGTACTCAAGTTTATCCATGAATTCTCCTTGAAGAGATATGATTTCCATGGATGTATGCTCGGCACAAAAGACCACGAAGGTATTCCCATTAAAAAGCCCCGGACTGTCGCTACTACAGTTGATGAAATCGGTTTGGAATTGTCACAATATCAATGCGACGAGTCACATGACCACGTGCAAGGGAGAGGAAAGCCACTCAAAGAAACTGAGAGTTACTCATACCCTTTTACTGATTGTGTGCACAGAGCTTTTGACCGGGCAGCTCAATCTGCTCGAACATTCGCGTGTGCTTTGATCGCCGTCTCCGACCTGCCTGTCTTTGCCGTGATGTTGGATGCTACTTCCGCTTCGGTGTCTCTTCCTCCTCATGTGACGGAAGCAGCTCAAGCTGGGGTACGTCTTCCGGAAGGACGGCCAGGTTCGGAACATGCCAATTGGCGCCAGGATGCGAACTTCCAGGTGGAGCAGATCGCTCCGGAGTATCGCTTGACGATCTATGAGAGGATTCTCCAATGGGAAAAGAAGCTGGCTACAATTCGAGGCTCATGTGTGGCATGCATCTTTCCTGATGGCTATGAAGGTGCAAACAAGATTGGAAGTGGGCAAATCCCGATTGGTGACGTGATTGATGGTCTCATCGGGAAGGACACCAACGAAACGCAGAGGACCTACTGTGACATTGTCGACTTGGTGAAGGACATCCCTGCTGCTTTGTTTGGTGCCGTTGAATGCCCACCGGAAGGTGAGGCCGACTTGATCATTGTTGGTGACTCATCTTTCGCACTTGTGGCCAACCACGACAACCCTGTGCTCTGCTCCAGGCTTTCCTTTGGTGAACTGCTACAGAGCAAGGAGTATGCCATTGGCCAGATCAGGTCCGTTTACCCAGGACTGAAATGGGGTAAGGGCCTCAGCGCCATAAACCACCAAATCTGGGAGTTGATTGAGAAGGTCGAACGAGAAAATCGCCTTCTTGACAGAGCAACACTCCCGATCATGGTCGTCGTCGGATGGGCGGGGAACGATGTGCACGGGGACTTTGGGTACCAAGGGTGTACATGGATTCACCAATCCAATCTCACGAAGTCAGAAGCCGACCGGAAGGTCGCTGCCGAGTACGTCGACAAGCAGTACAAGAAGGTGCAGCGATCACTGGAAGGACTGGTTGAGATTTCCAAGGACCCCCGTGTCATGTCTGTGCAAGTCATCGGGAACGGTGACCATTCCGGGTACTCATTGCCGCCATCTTACAACCGTGAGATGGGCAAGCACATCAATTGGCTGGCAGAGCGTGGCATTCAATGTGTGAACTCCACTATGCTCGCTCAGGGTGGGAAATACGACAACTACCACCTGCACGACCACCAATTTAACCGGAAACTGGTTTATCGTTTCTTGAGAGGAGCCATCACCTTCCACCTCAAATACGTTGAGCTCATGTCGAAGCAGGACGATCTCAGGTACTTTGTTCGGGAGTTCATCAGCAACGAACAAGACCGTGTGGCCGCGGTCCATCTCTTCCCCACGATGGTTCAGTTTCGTTTGGCTTTGCTCGGCACTCAAGAAGTCATGGAAGCCGTCTCCACCGAGAAGAAAACGGCAACACCTGCCCAGGTCTTCGACGAGGCAGATGAGGAGATTCTCATGTGGGTCCATGCAGGAATTCTTGAGGCCAACGAGGAAGCCACCCGGGAGGGAAGGCCGATGCCCACTGCTTTCACTGATGAAGAGATCAGCTCAATCGTCCCAATTGACCCTTCGACCGAGGACTACGAAACCGAAGAAGTCAGGGCCCGACAATACCTTCAAGAAGATTTGAATCAGGCCGTGGCTGATGGTTTCTCAACAACAACCATTGAGTCGATCGAGATCAACCCGGAGAACACTGATGTCGATGACGATGTTGAAGTCGTTCCCGAGTTTGATGAGTGGGACGTGATCCTTGATGAGAAGATCATTGTCAATCCCCATGACGAGAAGGTCAAAGAAGATGAAATCTCGGAGGAAAGAGCCAAGGAGGTTGAAGATCTCAACAAGATCATTGAGATCACATCCACTGAGGCAAAGCCTTCGGGAACGTCGGCCGATGACCCTGCTGCTGCAAAAGATGCACCCGCCAAGGCTGACCAAGGAGGAGAAGACATGACTTCATCGAGGGTTTCAACCTGGAGTGTGGTTGGTGGTGATGAATCCAAGCCCAGCGACATGACTTCTTCCAGGATCTCAACATGGACCGAGGTTGGTGGATCTGAAGCCACTGCCATGGACGTTGACTCTGAGAAGAAGGGAGGTGCTGATGCTGCCCGGGAGGGTGTGCCGACTGATGCTGCAGTTCCTGAGGCTTCTGCTTCTTCCGAACAGCCAGCTGACAAGACTGCCATTGTCGACCTGACCAAGACCGAGAAGAAGGTGGAGGTTGACAAGCCAGTTGGAAAGCCGGCCGAAAAGAAAATGCCGAAGAGTGAAAAGCAAAAGGCACCAGAGTCAAAGGCGCAGCCCAGACAGAAAGCGCCGCGACTCAGTGTCGAAGCTGATGCAGCCCTTCGCAAGTTGGAAGAAGCTACGGAACGCCAAGAGGGATCAGTATGGTTGGACCCCAATGACATGATCAACAGGATTCCCAAGGAGTATTGCGGCCAAGGGCGACTGAGATTTCTTTCCACGAAGTTATCTTATGTTCTCCGAGGGCACGCATTGAGCTATGGTGCTCGCAGCCCAGACATCGATCCCATGGATCTTTCGATGGATTTCGAGGCGGTGATGAAGACGATGGCCCACTACGTCTCCTACCCGAAGATCAGTGAGGTCCTGTCCATCGTGCGCAACAGTGACACCAGGCGCTTTCAGGTGAAAGTGGCTCAGCCCGATTTGCCTGATGCAACCTGGAAGGGTTTGCCATGGAAGGTTGTCGCCATCAGAGCTGTCCAAGGACACAACCGTGCAGTGGTGGAAAATGCCAAAATTTCATCGCTGGTGAAGGAAGTGTTCACTTTGGATCCAACCTTTACCAAGGCCGACCTCGACACGCCCAAGTTGCCAAGGACAAACCTTCGTCCAGACCTTGTGCCGGAGATGCTGGCTGCACTTCCAAGGGTTATCTACCATAGCTGCGACAGGCTCGCTATGGACAAGATAGTTGAACATGGTCTCATCCCAGGTGGCTGGCCCCAAAGAACAGGAAGGGCGCATAATTTCTTTATTGCGTCGCATCCATGGGATGATTCAGTCGGTGGCAGAAAGCTCGCGGGAACGCGAGCCGGGAAGCAATACTACATTGCCTTTGACACCGAGCTCATCGTCCAAAGCGGCTGCCGATTGTTTCGTACAGACGAAGCAATCATAAGCCCTGACTGGATCTCCAACGAGAACATCATTTGCACATATGATGCTGTCAACAGGGAGTTTGCCTGGGTGAATCGACCCTACGAGATCACGCGTGTGGGGTACAACAGCAAAATGAAGACCCACAAGGACCAGGACACTCCGAAGAGAGAAGCACTGTCAAAGAGCCCGTATGCCAACGCCAGGGACAGTTTGAAGGCCTACCTCATGAGCGGCAAGTCCATTCGACCCGGCCAGATGCAGGTGACCGACTCTCCGGAAGAGCTTCCCCCACTTCTTCGTCGACGTGAAGGAACCTCAGGACCCTTTGAGGACAGAGTGACGTTGAAGATGGCCTCCTTTGGTGCCTTGTCCAATGCTGAAACCATTCGCAAAGGCAAGGGCCGGGGAAAAGGCAAGGGAAAAGGAAGCCGCCCGGGAGGGCAGGCCCAGCGCTCAACAAATGCTGAGGATTACATCTACAGCTCAAAGATTGAGATGCAACAGGTCCGATGCCACTTCTGCGGCGAACAAAACATTGAGGGCACCCACAAATGTCAGTCGTGCTTCAAATGGCTGATTGCTTGGTCGGATGGAAGAATTGCGACGGAGGTATGCCGGATGGAAATCTCGGCCAAGAAAACCAACAAGGTATTTTCTCTGGACAAAATCGACTTTGAGAAGCAGCCTCGAGCTCAGCGAGTCTCCGACCGCACCCGAGCAGATCAACGTCGAGCTGGACGAAGCAATTTCGGAAATCTCAAGGACGCTGCTCAGACACATGCGGGAAGATACACGAAGCTCGGCTTCAAGTCGATCCAGGACCGCATGGAGAAGGACCCATTTTATTTGTTCAACAATGCGGTCGGCCAGATCACTCCCGACTGTTGCCAATTTTTGGAGGACTTGGCAAAATGCATTGCCCCTGATGTCGGCCGTACCCGAGAGAAGCGAGAAAAGCAGCTGGGAACAGGTGTCAGCACTCGTTTGATTTTCATGCCAGACTTCAACAGAGACATCCGACTTCCGTTGGACGTTACAAAGGAAGCCATGGTTGCACATCATGCACGAGTTTTTACACTCCCACAATTTGCTGTTCTTGCTGCGGACTTGCTGAAAGCGAGGGGGGAACCCACGCCGATGTTGTTTGGTTGGTCTGGCTCGATGATGCCTGTGGATCAAGGGTCAGCCCAAGATTGTTTCTTTGACCTCGTCGATTTCGCGAAGAGGCAGTGGAAGGAACAATACAACAACATCAAAGGTGAAGAACACTCCTTCGTGGATGAAGCCACTGCATCAGATGTGGCTGATTTTCCGTTGGCAAGGTCCTCCAAGACGGGTACGGGCGAAGGGCGAGAAGGATACCGGCGTCACTTTGACCCGATTCAGAAGCCAGCCAAGGGCAAGGGCAAGGGTTATGGTCAACAACAGCGTCCAATCTTTCAGCAGGCTATTGAGTGCTGGAAGTGCGGTCAGTATGGCCACAAATCCTTTGAGTGCCGCAGTGGATGGAGCCGAGGGCAACAGTGGGGTTCGTATGGATCTTACTCAAGCCGCTCGGGAGGGCAGGCCCAATGGCAAAGCTGGAATTGGAATCAGGGCTACTCTGGCAGAGGATGGACTGCTGATCCTTGGGGAAGATCTACAGCATCAAGCTCCTCAGCAGCTCCTCCGGAGCCAGTGCGGCCACCTTCAACAGCGACGCCTGTGCCTGACACTACTCCTGCTGCTGGCGACCCTGCCCAAGCAGCCTCTGGATCAGCTCCCGCAGCAGAGCCTCCGCAGCAAGTGCCGAGGATGCCGCTCGTGATTGCTGAGGAGTACTGCGAGATCAACGGCCAACCGCACTTCAAGCGCACCTACAATGATGGGACGGTAGAGTTTGAGTCTTGGTAGATGTTTCACATCTTGTGCCATGATTTTATGCCTACCGGAAGGTTTGGCCGATTGGATGAAAGCTGACCCATGGTCATTCAGTTCAATCGAAATGCACACATCTTCATAACTTGAAATTCCAACTTGATTAACTTGAAAAACTTTTCCCAATTGCTTCAAAAGAAATTGACACCAGCATCCGATCCTGACGATTTGCGTGTATATAGCCGTGTACATAGGCCTGATACAGTAGCTTTCAAGTCTCCAAGGCAGTGAAAGGAGTGGTAATGCTCCTATGCCTTGGCGGAAGCCAGGCCAATGTCACTTTTGCTTTGCATTGCAGCCACACGCCATGTCAGGGTCCAAAAACATTTGCATTCGACCTTTTTGCCTCATGCATCCGATGAGTTTGAGACTAGTTGCACGACTATGTATAGTTGCCAGTGATGTTCTTTATTCTAGCTTGCCCGCTCTCAGGTCACATCTGGCGAGCGAGCTTCACCTCTCCGTCCTCCGCTAACTCTGCGGGGCGGCGGGGGGTGTTTTCACATTGTCTCACTGGTTGTATATATACTATGTACGTCGTGCGTGGCTCAAGAAACAAGCGTCTACTTGTAGTTGCATTGTGGCTGGGTAGACCTGTAAAACAAAATCATCACTAAGAAAAAGATAGGGACCAACTGACCATCTTTTTTAGGAGCCCAAAAATCATCGATGCGCCAAGCATGCTCCCCGAGGCCACATGACCATGCGCGCCTGGCGCGACTCCAGCGGCTCTACGACCTCTAGCCGCGGCAACCGGCGACGTGGACGCGGCTTGATGCGGAGGAGGTCATGGGCCTTGGAGAACGAGGAGATGGGTCAACTATGAGATATAACTATAACTATATAACTACTATAGAACTACTATAGAACTATAAAATTGAAACTATATAACCATGTAACTATACAACTATCCAGAGACTATCCAATTGTATAATCATTCTAAAGACAGTTGACATTCCCACTATGGGTCAATTATCGCCTCTCAATCGAATGGATCATCCCATTTTCCCCGGGATGATCCAGGCTGGTAAGCAACCCACGGCACATTATTGGGGATCTAATGGGTATACATCGCCACAATATCGGAATATGGCTATATCAGTTATATAAGATGGGCATAGATGGGCTTAATATCATCAAAACATGTTTTATTAGGGTGTGTCTGAAAAGGCTGTGTATAAAAAAAGGGATATACCCTCTGGTAATTTAACATAGCTATGGAAAATCACCATTTTTAATGGGAAAAACTCACTATAAATGGCAATTTTCAATAGCTATGTTAGTTTACCAGAGGGTACCCAAGTAAACAAAGCTACAAGAGAGATGTCATTGGGATACTCGGATTTGGGTCTGAAAGATTCACCTCTAAACTTGACCATTCGAATAGGGAAAATTGTGCTCAACTAGTGGATGGAATGGGGCACATACCCGTATCCTATTTTCATAGAAATCCGCATGTCAACATGGAAGATAACCCCCAAAATGCATTGCTTTCCAATTTTGGCGAATGTCAATTCTTGGGATGGTCACTCGCAAGTTGGTTTTAAGCTCAACACCTATGATTTTTGCATCTTTTGATCAATATTGCCAGCATATCAGCATATCCAATAGCAAGAGATGTCGAAATTTACATCACACGTGGTTGCAGTGGCAGCCAAGAAGCAATCCCACTTTCACACACCTCCAGAGAAAGTGCTGTGTTGCTGTGCTGCATGCCTCTGTTTGGCATAGTACATGCAGAAGCTGCTGTAGATAAAATGATACCCAATTAAATTTTATGCATGGTACTTATATAACCTAATATACACGGTATAAGGTTCTGGCTTAAGGAGGTTTTAGATCGCTTTACGATCCTTCCTCTGCCATTCCTTAGGGGGTTGTGGCCTAACCCCCGGGCTTCGATTTAGCCTTCGCTGCGGCCGTGCATTGTCTCTTGAGCTCTGTCGGTTCCGAGCAAGCCGACATCTCCGTCGCTTCACCTCCTCGTGCTGACACTCTTGGTGCTTCAGCGAGGCCTACCACCCGGTCATTGTGTATGAGCCCGGCCCATTGGACCTTCCTGCTCTCCTTTTTGATTCTGGTGAAGGTGGTCGCGGACCCTGGGGCTTGCGCTGATCTTTTGTTCGAGAAGGACGGCTTCCTCCTCTGCAAGAAGGACACAGCGGCGGCAGCGTGCAAGAGCGAGGCTACAGTGGTATTTGCATCGACTTGGTGCTCAGCGGCTATCGAGCACCCAGCTTCTGCAGATTCACCGCACTCTCAGCAAGCACCATTCAAAGGATCCCACGTTCCTACGACGAGTCCTTGCGGCCTCCAAAGACATCATGGCACAAAAGCAACCATCGTGGCGTTGTGCTGCCTGTCATGTTGTGATGAAAGGCACCTTCCCCAGATGTTGGAAGTGTGGCCAGGAGTGGGGACAGTGCAGCGATCCATCCTTTACTCCTCCAGATCGACGTGGGCAAGCTTACAATCAGCACCAAGTGCAACCTCCACCCTGGGATGGCCAGCAGTGGCACAATTCAAACTCTGGTTCCTGGAGTCCGAGGACACGCACAAGGCGCTCATCCAATCGAGGACGGAAAAAGGGGAAGGGCAACGGTACATGGCAAGATGGAGACCAAATGAGTCATCCCAAAGGACAAGGCAAAGGTATGGAGCATCATGCACCAGCACAGACACCATTGCCGCCTTTCATGCCGTATCCCATGATGCCCCAGTACCCGCAGCAGATGATGCCGGCACCGCTGCCACCACCTTTGACCGACAAGGGTGCTGGCAAAACAAAGAATTCTCCTGTGATGATGCCCATGATGCCAGTGGCGCAACAAGGAGCTATGACATCTGCTGTACCGACTATGCCATGGGGTACTCCAGGACAGATGATGGCACCACCAGTGGCACCGACTGGATCTCTGGCTACGAGCTCAGTGGAGACATCGACTGGGCACAAACCAGATGGACCAGCACAGCAAAAGCTGAACAGATTGCTCAAGGAGAGGAAGAAGGAAGAAGACAATCTGTCTCCTCATCTACAAGCCATCGCTCACGAGATGCAGAAACAAGGAGAGAAAAACAATATCAAAAACTTGTCTTCTGCAGTCAAAGCCCTGGGCGATGCCAAGCAGGACCTGCTCGAAGCCGAAAATGCACGGGCTCAGCGCTTGTCGCAGTGGAAGTCGTTCCTACAACAATCGGTGGTGAAATGGCGGGAGTTCACCGCAAATTTCCAGGCGTCAGAGAGTGCCCACCAACAAGGAGTACAAGCTGCCAAGTTGGAAGTTCGCAGAGCGCAACGAGCCTTCGACCTTGCATCCAAGCGAGAGCAGCCTGGAAAAGAGGATACAGTAGATATTTCAGACGAGGAAGAGGACACCGAGGTGATCGAGGAAGCCATGGAAGACCCTCACAACGAGAGTGTGCAAAGGATTCATCAAGGCATGACGTCGATTGTGACGAGCTTGGAGGAGTTGTCAAGTTCAGCCGATCAGCTCGAACAGCGCGTCAAGCGCCCACGCACATCTGGTGCCGAGGGAGATGCTGGTGGCTCACATACTCAACCTCATGCAAGTCCTCATGTTGCTCAGCCGCCTTTTGGCGGGGCCGGTGCCGTATGACCTCAGCGTATACGCACCACAGGCCTTTCGAGTGGCCAACGCTTGACCCGGATGCCGTCAAGCTTCAATGGAACCATTCAATCCTCTCTGAACGAGACTTTTTATCAACATGGCAAGCGCAAGAACATGCATCCACCTTGGCTGCTGAAGTTGGGGCTCCAGACCATGTCGAGATTGATGTGTTCACCTTGCCAAAGCGCACACCTTCCTCCACAAATCGAGTTCGATTTGATGCTGAGGTGACAGTTTTGATTGGCAGCGACAATGAATTGGGCCTTTGCTCTGCTACTATTGCACATGACTCCCTATGTGATTTTGAAGGTAAACCTTGGGGATTACGTTCCCGACATCCCAAGGCACAGCATCAGGAGTCCGATGTAGCATCTTTTATGGCCCGCCGACCTACTCAACCTGTGCCATCATACCTTGATGATGCATCGACCTCTACAACGTCATCATCCCAGACATCCAGTTCTACTGGCAGTTCCTCACGCAGCCAACCTGATTGGCGGCAAACTGTGTTGGTTGCACTTGATGGTCGAATGCTTCCGGCAAGACTTCCATGGGATGATGGTGATGAAATGGTCAGGCGTATCATGCAGGCACTTGCTGGTCCAGGACAAGACAGACAAGCAATTTATGGGGCTCACCATGTCCGACATCGACCCTCTGATTTGATCCAACAAGGGCTCCAATGTCTACTCATTCAGACTGAAGCTGAGCCCCGCCCATCCACTTTTGCTCGAATTGTCCTCATTGACCTCGAGATCTTTGAACCCAACGAGGTGCTCCCTGGGGCCTTCAAGCGCTTTGCAACGTGGCTTCCTGAGACAATCAATCGGGTGTTTCGTTTGCTGGGCCTCTCTTCCCTGCTTGAAGCATACCCTGAGCGCAGCCGCCTTTGGTACAACAACGTTTTGGTTGAAGATGGACGAATGAGTCCCATGTACCTCCAGGATGGTGATTACCTTCAAATCAAAATTGGAGAACATGAAGATGGGTTTCTTTGTCTTGACTCAAGCTCCACTTCCTTCCATGAGAATGCAACTGATGGCAGTGATGAAATGACCTCGTTGCAAACCTTCTCTACTTCGATTTCCCCAGATGTTTCTTCTGACGTTGATCCGGTGATGATTGCAGCACTGTGTATCTCTGGAAGTGCATCAACTTTGAAGCATCCCATGGCCTGTAGCATGAATGAGCCCTTCTCACATTTCCCTTCCGCAGATTCGCCTTCTGGAAGTGGAAGTGCATCGCCCATTCCAGATCGACCTCCACGAGTTGAGCAACCCATTTGGTTTCATGAGGTCTGGGATTTACTTCGTGATCACGGACATGTTGAAATGGCTGAAGAGGGACCCATCATCTATGTGACATCGTATTACATCTCGCATGAGAGAGTTCTCAGCAACACCCAAACGCGCTATCTGAGGTTCGACACAGATCATGAGACATGGGAGGCCAGTGTGCGCTTTATGTGGGAGGACTATATCGACAATGACGCTCCGTTTGATGTGCACATTGTGAATCCAACTCCACCCACTACGGTCTTCCAGGGCTCCATTGCCACGGTTTTGATCACACAGCATCCTGTTGATGGCCGTGCTGCGTGTGTCCTGACGGTCACAGCCGATGACCACTTTCCACAGCGCATTTGGCAAACGGCTCGATCTACTGCCCTCATTACGCCATATTGGAATGTCATTGCAGACTCTGGCTTTGAGACAGAATGTCGAGTCCCTGATCCTCTTCCACAGTGCAGCTTGTGGCATGGACATCGTGAATTACCGCCAGATTTGGATGTCCATATTCACAATGGCATTGGACTTACAATTCGTGTTCCAGCTCGGTCATCCCATCCTGCCTTATCAGGGACGCCGGTTGTGCCAGCCAATGATGTGAGTCAGGAAACAGAGGAAGATGAAAATGCTGCACTCTTCATGACTGGTCTGCAATCTCATGGTGCTTTCCCCAATCGTCATGATGCACATGCTCTGACATCCATTGCGGGAAGCGACCAGACATTCATTGAAGGGAGGGTAGATCCAGCATGTTCACCTCGTGATTCTGTTTGCACTATGGGCCTGAATTTGCCAGATGGACATTCAGAAGGAACCTTTTATCAGAGGGACACCACATCACATGCGCAGCCTGTACCTCAATGGGATC